AACATACACAGTATAATGTTTAACCATGCTCCCGCTGGATTACCTTAAAGAAACATGGTTTCTGTCGAGGGGCTCTCAAACTGATTAAATATGACACACTAAACACAATCTGTTATAGTCTTGACTCAAAATGTATCAATGCATTTGAAAAGATAATTCTTCCACCAAATCATCTCTCTATTGAGATGCTTGATTGAGGTAATTAATAAATAATATTCACTTACCTTAAAGTAACGTTTTGGAATTCTATCAGGACAGGAATCCTCGACACTCGAGCAGATTGCTAGCTGAAAATAATACCAAAAAAATATAAGTCATTCAAAATTCACTCGGAGATGACTTGGGGACTGGTAGGGGAGGCATAGCTTCATTTCACACGAAAACACCGCAACAAATCTCTGTGATTGCGGATTGAGTTCGTTTTTTTTCTTTCTTTTTTATTTCAAGCGAATTGTGTTCTCCAACGCCTAGCCCTCCCCCCAAAAAAAAAAAAAATATTGGTTCTAGAACCACGCCTGCCAACGGCTCTGACTGGACTCACGTTTGAGCAACAATGATCTTTGTTTGAGGATTTACTAGTTTGGAATCGAACGAATAAATCACAAAATGAGAATTTTGTCGAAATGTGTCACCAAAATCAAGTTTAAGTCACGTGAGATCATATCGCAATGTCCGGACAAGTACCTATATCATGACAGAAACTTTGCAATGTCATAAGTGAAGATATGACCGGTTTCTAATTCCCTTAAGTCGTTCGGAAAACCCTTGTATAGATTTGGTTTAATTAAAAAGTGACCCCACGTTCACGTCACGCTGTTGCACGTTGTTGGAGACGGAATTCCATTACGAGAATCAAAACATTGCACATACATTTTTTTTCAAAATGTACCCATCTTCTATCTGAACTGAATCTTCAACAGGTTCCTCAAAATGTACGTATCTACCGAGCTGAAACTTCAACTGGTTAAATAGATGTTGAGGACCTTACTAAAGATATTAAGAAATTATGTTGCTTCAAACAAACAAAATGCACCAAAAGTAAATGAACGTATGTTTCTCATCCTATGTGGCTCAAAATGTGCTTGAATTTGTGGTTGTGAGAATCACAGTGAGCTTACATTTTCTGCACTAATAACGGAAATTGATCTCATACCAAGGACGTAGTGGCGAAAATAGTACAGGTGGCATTCAAGTTAACAGTCGTTACAAAAATAACTATTTAACCGGGTGGGAAATTAGAACACCGGATTGGCTATTAGCATCAGCCACCATCTGTTTCTCAACAAAGTATGTCCCAGAAAATATGTCAGATTTACTGCACAATACTTCATACATGCATGAAGCCAAATGGGCCTTATTCACGACTTGGCCATTTTTGTCGAGTTCCCTGAATGTATTTCATTAATTGTTAACTGTTGAATGGGATGGCGCCAGACTTTTTATGCATGCATAATGCAGCCTTATTTTACTGTCAGTTTTTTTTTAATCTGGCTTTACACATTAGGGAACGTTTAATTACAAGTTTGAAATTATTCACTGAAGCAGAATGGACTTAATTAGTAATTAACTTGCTGTCATTTCTCTACACAAGTTCCAGAAATCAAGATTTTATCTCACTCTCAATACAATATGACCGACTCGTGCATAAGGCCCATACCACTATCGGTGTTTCAAAAAAATATTCAACAGAATCTTAATAGTGGCATGTTGAGTGGAACCCTTTACATTCAAACATCACTAAATTCATCCCAGATCTTGTGTTTCGAACTTTTAAGGCTGAGAGTAGAGAATGCAGAAGGGCCGAATAATGTTTACAAATATCAACTCTATACATGATCAGAAATGAATCCAGTTATTTAAAGCAATTTTAACTAGAATGAATCTGTTTGCATGATCATCCGGTCCGTTCATATTTGCGCCTTCTAATAGTGAAACCATAGAGCGTTTGTTTCCGACTAGCCACACTGTTGTTAACAATGTTTGAAGGTAACTTAAAAATCATGTACACAAAATGGCGCGTATCGAATATTAGCCCGCTTGTTTGGCTGTTAACAATCGTGTATCAGTAGTCACGCAATATCAGTTTCACTTCAAGTTTTGTTCAGAAAAATCAGTTGGAGAAAGTGGCAATTTCATGACGACTACCGCGCTCAGCAATAATCTTAAGGATAATCCCACGCTTACTGAAACCACACTATGTGCAAAAAAGGCAACTGTTTTGTTGCTGAAAAAGAAAAGAAAAAAAACCAATTAATTGTTTCAAACACTCACCAAGCAAATCTCGTTCTTGCAATCAGTTCGCTCGGGTTGTCGTCTGAGGGTGAAGAGGTGCTGCGGTCTTGTGAGGAGTGAAGAGGCCGCTCGTGGCTTAAATATTGCCTTAGATTTCCAGAGCAGTGACTGGACCGGTTTGTGATTGGCCCCTGCTCGCTGTCACTCAGACATCACCGACTCGCTTCATGTTAATACGAAGGAAGTGATGTCAATGTGGTTGATGTTATACAGTCAGAATCAAAACTTGTGTCACCGACACTGAAATAGCCGCATCTTATTGGTGGATATGGATGTCGGTGACACGTACATCTAAAACACACGATTTGTGATTGACACATACAACCTGTCAATCACAAACCACTCACTGGTGATCACCGACTTGTTGGGTGATTTACTTTGATTGGTGGATTGAAAAATGACGTACACTGGCCGTGATTCATTAAATGTGCAGTTGGCACTTCAGTCCATTTAAATGTTTCGATTTATTTAGGATTGCATGAGGAATTAAATCGTAGTCAAGATGGCGGCCAAAGTAGATTAAACTTAAATCTGGGAGCGCCTGGGTGCATTATATAGATACACTTAACTCAGATGAAACGTACTGCTGTTATACAGCAGTGTATTTTGTTCAAGTCAGGATCTCAAATTAGAGCACAAGGGAAGAGGAGGGGGGCTAAGGTCTTCCACTGGGGGGTGGGGGGGGGAGGCAGTGAGGGGGAAGGGGAAGAAGGGAGAGGGGGAAGCAGTGAGGTGGGAGGGGGAGAAGGGGGAAGGGGGAAGGGGGATAAAAGGGGGAAGGGGAAGGGGAAGGGGGGGGGCTTATGTACCCCGTGTCTATAGTTGTGGCCATGGGTAAGGCATTGCTATTTATTTTTGGGGGATTTTAAAGACTAAGATACATTACATACAAGTTGGAAGAAAGTTAAGTGAACTCCGATGAACTTTGCTGTCAGCCTTGTATAATATTTTAGCAGCCTTGTATTGTTGGACGTGCGTTTTTAGATTTGTGTAAACCCCAGTCCGAATGAACCTTCCCAGAAATGCAGGAATATATGATGTGCTATGATGGACTTACAAAGCACAATTAGTTAGATAAACTAATGACACAATTCAACAATAGAACGTAAAATGAATTAAGATAAATATCCCTCCATATAAACAAGATAGGCATGTTTTGCATGACCAGATTTCCTGTGCTTGTTATTTAATGACTTCCGCATATTACGAGTCATCCTGAACTTTAGCCTTGGTGATATCCGGAAAATTAATCACACCAGAAGGTGTCATTCTGTTTGTTTAAGCATCTCGACATTTTAATAATCTCTTAAGCAATGGCGTAGCGCCGATATAAGTGTGGGGTGCGGTCGTTGGACGACCACAAGCCCCTCCCCCTCCTCCCAAATCCGGTGAAAAAAAACCCACTGATGTGTTTAGGGGCTTAACATTGATGGCCATGTTCCAAAGCTAGAGACGAAGCCTAAACTTACAAAACGCCCGAAGTTAAATTAAGGCCTACTGTAGTAAGGTGTTTTCCAAACTGCGGCTTCGTTCCGTTTTCGGCTTCGGGCATGCGGTTTTACAATGGAGCTGAAGCTGTATATATGGAATGAAGCCGGGGCTTGGAAAACCTCGCAAGTCACTCTTTTGGCGTGTGTATTATAGGCTCCGATCAAAACGCCTTGCTGTTTCGCCTCTCGGTCATATACCGGTGAGAGTCAGGTTGACCTTGTGAAAAGACTACAGTTAGGCCATTATTTTGACCAACAGAATTAATTCCTTGTTATCATTTGGGGAACCGTCAACTTGGAACTGGGGAAGATCTGGGGATGGAGAGGATGTCGAGTGGAAATGGACGCTACGTAGCTATTGAGGGCATTGTTCTTGAATATAATGTTCTAGCATACACGCGTGCGTTGATTGTTAAAAGTTGAAAAACAAAAGTTGATGAAATACACACACAATTGAAACTAAAACTCTTGTAATGCGAAAATAAACAAAACAATATGTGTATGGCTGTCAGATAAGAGAAACAGTCAATAAATACGGTAATGTATTAAATAGGCAATACTAAATGTAAAAATGAGAGGTGCAGAGAATTAAATGTTAATAGTCAATAATGAAAATATAGAATAATAAGGGGAAACAAAATTGTGCTTGCGAGGTGTTAAACACTAGGTTTAACACTGATTTGAGTCTGGAATGCTGATAATTACCCAAAGCGAAGCAGAGGGCAAGTATCAGCATTCCAGACTCCAACCAGTCTTAAACATAGTGTTTAATACCGACCTAGCACATATTTATTCCCATTCATCAATAACTTTTCGGTCAAAAAACGTCCAAAAGTCAAAACTCGTTCGCCCACAGGCGGGCTCGAGTATAGACTTTTCACTTAATTCGGTCCCGCACGAGGGTGGCCAGTTCGTCTGTCGATTCTACACCGATGTTCTTTCGCAACACCCCGGTGTAAGATAGTTTCGGTCTTCCTCGCCTCCTGTATCCTTGGGTTGGTTTCCAGAGAATGACTGTGTGTGCCTCCAGCTCTGAGTGCCGGTAACAGTGGCCTGCTAACTGCATCCGACGGGCTGCGATTTTGTCTCCGACTCCATCGTAGGAGTTAGAGTCCATGTTTCACATCCATATACATGTAGTAGCACTGATCGATGGTTGCCAAGAAGAAATAGATTTCTACGTTGCGGCTAATGGTGGAACTCCACACTTTCTTCATGTCAGCCAGTGCCCTCCATGACATTCCTGATATTGATGTCCTGGTCACTAGAGTTGATCCACGCGCCCAGGTACTTAAAGTCAGGGACCTCATTCAGCTCTCTACCCTTCAGCGTCTTCAGTGGGATGTGTTCGGGCGTGTTGTAGATGGAACACTCAGTTTTCTTTGTGTTAAGCCTGAGCCCTACCTTCAAGCACTCTGCTTCTACAAGGTATAGGAGTACTTGCGCCTGCTCGACTTGATCAGACATCAACGCGATGTCATCAGCAAAGTCGAGATCCGTTTCTGTGACCGCTGGTTGCCTTTTCGATCTTCTCGGAGTGACAGTGAATCTGAGGTCGGTCTCCCTCCCATTGATGGCTCTACCCAAGGCATGGTCGAGAACATTGTTAAAGATGAAGGGTTCTAGGGTGTTGCCTTTGAGCACTCCTGCTGTGGTGTAAAATAAGTCAGTCTCACCATCCGGAGTAACCGCCTTAGCCAGTGTGTTGGCGTACATGACTCTATGGCACGGAGTAACAGGGGTGGAACTCTGTATAGGCCTTTAAGATTCTTAACGTTATTCCCCGATGTATGGAATCAAATGCCTTCTTGAAATCGATAAATGTGAATACTGCTGCTAGGTTGTTTAATTTGTTAGGTTGTTTAAACGGAAGCCGTTTTGGTTGTTTCTGAACAGTGGATCAATGACGCCTCTGATGCGATTCAGGATCAAACGGTAGGCCTACATTTTTGCAATGATGCATGAGAAACTGATACCTCCGTAGTTGTCAGGGTATGAGAGGTTACCAGCCTTGGGCACTGGTATGATCTTGTAGAGCGACCACTGTAACGGCTTCTGATTATCCATTAGGGCCATGCAACACATCTCCAACACTATGGCGTCAAGGTCATAGTTCTTGAGCACCTCTGGTGGAATGTCATCCGGCCCTGCTGCCCTACTCATCCGAATCTTCGACCTCTGGTGCGCTGCTTAGTAGGTTGCTGACATGGGCTTACCATAACTGTGTTTCCACTCTTTCTAAGGGGAAGCTCCTGCTACCTACCCTTCCTTTGCTTTCCAGCGTCCAGTTATTTCGTTGATGACCTTCCAGCCCTCGCCGTAGCGTAATCCACCGTGCTACGCCTCAATTATTTGAGTGTTTTCATTGAGGACCTCTTCATTTTAGTCGATCATAGGTGTAGAACAAATGTTGTTTTTCCACACTATGAGCTTGCTTGTTCTCTTCATTGTGGCCTCTGTCGCAGGACAGGCGTGCCTATATGACAGCCTCTCTCGCAGCTGCGATGTCTGGGTGCTTCGACTGAAGAGACTTCTTTACCCTCTCCTTCTTAGGTACCACTCCACTATCTCGTTCGCTTTGATGAACCTTCCGCACCTCTCAGTAGGGTCCTCTTGCTCCTCTATCAACTGGTAGTAGTTGCGCATCACCACCGTGTAGCGTTTTTGAATATCAGGGCGGGATGAGAACTCCTTCCCGTTGTACCTAGTCCTACCGCTCGGCTTTGGTACTCTGAGACTTAGACGCACCCTCATGGAGACTATTCTGAGGTCTGAGTCGACGGAGTTGAATGACGAGCACGATTCAGAATTCAGAATGATGTTCCTCCACTTGCTACGCATTAGAATGACGTTGTCTAGTTGACGCCTCATCCCCAAGCCTCTGTCTTGGAAGGTCCACATCTTTCCCGATATGAACTCGGCTAGCAATGCTCCTTTTCTGTTGGTAGCATCATGATAAGTGAACGGTGCATCTTCAGGGCCCATTCTAGCGTTGAAGTCGCCCAGTATTGTCAAGAAATTGTGAGCCGGCACTCCCATTACTGCTTCTGTAAGGGCCTCGTAAATTTTCTCAACCTGTTTTGTGGTGCAGCGTTGGTTGGCGAGTGGACCCTTCTGGATACGCCACTGCCCACATTATACCCCACCAACAATAGAGCTAGCAACCCATACACTCCCAAATATAATGGGCGTAAATCATGGAGTAGTGATAGGAAGGATTTATCCCCACTCTTTATTTTAATAAGTGGGATGCTTGGCCATTGGATCACCCCCCCCCCCGAGTGTTGTGATGAGAATAACAAAAAATATTCAAACAAATATGTTTAGATAATTACAAAAAAGAACAAACAATACACACGCTCAATGTGTTAATGGACGTAAGCGCGTAAGTTTGCATTGCGCGTGCATTTTTATCCTGAACAGCGCCAACCTCGTCCCCAGTGCTTACTTTATTTCCAACCTCGTTTCCAATAATAAGCCATGGATAGGAAACTTTCTTCCCGATCATGGTTTGATACCGCTATTGGATAGTAATGGATTTGTATTGTGTACTTGCAGCATGTGTTTTCGCGATCATTCGTCCACGCCTTCTCGAAAATACTAATTTCCTTTCCAATATTGTTGACAATATATGACACCGCATACAAAAATACCAGACTATTGCTCATTTGCATACGTGTTCAAAAATCTTACACATGCAAATGATCCAATCCCAGGGCAAGGGCGGATCCGGGGGGGGGGGCAAAGGGGGCCATGCCCCCTCCCCCAACAAAAAATCGAAACCAATTTTTAATTAATAAGAGGGCGCCGAACCCCACGCCGTAATTTTGTGGACCCACTTTTTTGGGGGACCAACGTTTTTGTTGGCCCCCCAAAAAATTGTGTTCTGGATCCGCCCTTGTACCAGGGTGAAAAAGCAGGTCTGGTGGGCGCGTACTGCTCGACACCCTGGGGACGAGGTTTCAACAGCGCCCCTAGTGTCCCCTGCTGTCCATCCCCCACCGATTTTCGAATTCCACGGTTTGCTGGCAAGCAGGCGGTGTGTTATCACCCACCCCCCTCGCTTATACGGATTTATGCCTCTAGTGCCACCGACCCTAACTGTACCCCCACCCACCCTCAACCCAATCTCTGCATCAGATCTTTAACCCCAGCCCCAAATTGAATCATCCTGACTTGCAAAAAGTTCAAACCTCAAAAACATACACAATAAACAACTGGACTTTGTCTGCAATACTTTTAATAACAAAGCTATATTGATAAATCAATTACAGATTAAACATTACTTCTAAAAAATGTGTTCGCGATAGTCAGAATAGTATCTAATCATTTAATACTGTAACAATCGATTTCAATCCAAGTGCAATGCTTGAAAAGTCTTTTTACTTTTCCGTAAATTCGATTGAATTCTTCAAAACATGGAGTGTAAAACAAGCGTGGTTTTTGGTACCAATGAAGTCCAGCTGAAGGAGCTTTAAAAACGCGGCAGGTAGTTTTCAACATTATCAAAAACTGGAGTTTTATTAATTATTTACATTTTCTGAGTAGTTGTATTCGATACGTATCGCATTATTATAATTACTTTGTGATGTAATTTATTTGAAACTGCCAAACAGAGCTATAATAATCAAAATGTACTAAACAAATTAAGAAACACTTTTTTGAGGACCAATTATAAACTGTTGCTGTGTTATAGGCCCTTCCTGACAAGCGTTAGACAACAATTGGTTGTTTGTCTGTGATAGTGTTACATTTAAAAACAAACATTGCAATAAATCATAAACAATTATTTGATACGAATTCCCACAGTCAATACTATAGCTGCAATTAAACAAATCACGGGAGGAAAACAATAAAATAAATTATGAAACTTGAGAATGTTAGGGTCATATTGTGCAATTAAAATGCAAGCTTATTAAAAACATCAAAACTTGTGAATTTCAAAAATGATAATGGGGCGTGTCCCCCCGCCCACCCAAGGAAGAGCCTCGAGCTCCTTATCTGCGACTTTCAAGTATTGAAGTTTGGATGATTAGATAGACGTTTATTGGGAAATCCGTTTTAATCCGGTGTCATGATCAAACAACAAAACTCAGAAACCTGAGAGAACGTACGCAATCTCTCAGCGCATCTTGACAAAAGGGCAACCGATACGTTTGTTTTCAAGTGAATGGCGATTACAAGTGACAGATTTATTGATTCGTATTCATTTTGAATTTGAACTTTGGTAAACTAATCGTCGGCTGCCTAGTCAGAGTTTAAATTCAATACATATAAAGAAAAAATGACCAAAATGCATCCATCCATGACCAAAATGCATTTGAATATACAGGAGTATCTCTCAAATAACAATGTATGCTTGACAGTGAATGTAATGCTTACCTTATTCGAACAAAAAGGAAAAATATGCGATACGATTTTTTTAATGACACATCTTCTAAATCTATTTATTAGATATATATTATATATACAAACGTTTCAATCAGGATAATATAATTTCAGTACTTTTAAGTAGGCTGCAAGATTTTATAATATGATACTTAAACAATACCATACGGTGCTACTATTAAGTACTCAAAACCATTTGTTAACCCAATGCCGTAAAACCGTTCTGCGTATGCACTTATTAAAGTACATGTAAAGCAGTATTCAACTGAATTATTTTGATAAAATTGAAAGAATTTTAATTTTACACTTACTTATTAATTAGATGTTGTTTCGGATAGACGGTGGAGCGATTGGAAATTCGGCAAAGCGCGTGATCGTGTATATACTGGGCGTGGTTATTGTGTTTGACTATTCGGGGTAAAGGAGGAAGCCACTGAATGAGGTGTGGTGATATGAACCACTACCCGCCTGGCCGTGTATGGTAAGATACACCGTGTCTTCACGATGCAGCACCAGCACCGCGCTCCCAGACACCTGCTCTTGACTAGCTGAATCCCCGCTATATCCAGTGACAACCCAGTCGTTGTTTTTCTTCAGATGTATGTAAAGGATAGTGCTTGAAGTATATTGAAGCACAGAAAATGTAAACACGTAGGTGCCCGGCACTCTACAGGTAAACGTGCCAGTCTCGAGATCGAAGCTGGTACCCGGCAGAAGCGTTTCGGTCTCCTGGAATGGCAAGCGGGTGTCGCGACTCGTAGAGGTAACCGAGCTGCTCACCCTCACCACGGTGAACGCAACCCGCTGGTTGGAGTCGTCTGGTCTCTCCCCTGGCTCACCCTTCTGACCTTTGACACCAGTTTCTCCGATTCTTCCAACGATACCTGGTACACCTCTGGGACCTATCTTGCCAGGCAAGCCAATCCCATCATCACCTTTAGACCCAGTGTTCCCAGGTGCTCCCCGCTCACCCATAGGTCCAATCGGCCCAATCTCACCTTGCTGTCCTGCAACGCCCTTTGACCCCGGCTGACCGTACGGCCCCATCGGTCCTACTGGCCCAGGCAGACCTGGTATGCCGGGTATTGCAGCAGGTCCCTGGCAGCACTGCTGACACACCTGACACGCAGGACCATCACCGTCCGAGGGAACCGGCCCAGTAACGGAAGCTCGGAGCTTGACAGAGTTACCCAGAAGGAGGGCGATTGAAATAATGGTTGCCATGCAATTGTTCATCTGTTTAAAAAAAAAAGGGAAATACAAAAAAATATGGAAAATACTAGGGAAAGGTGAGGTAAACAAAATTGAGGTCAGAGAAAACTGGAGAAATTATATTAGAGTTAGACTTTTGAAACTTTGCGTCTTTTAAATTAAAAATAAATTCAGACGTTATTAACATGTGAAAAATGTGAATATTTTCTCAAACATCACTGATCAAGTTGGAAAAGCTACTCTTTAAACATTCTCATTAAAGGGAATTCATTTCCCGGAGACGAAAATGAAACAGTTTGGAGAGCATCGCTGAATTATTTAAGAAGAAAATCCGCTCTTTGTCTAAATTGAAGTCTAAATCTGACTAATCTGAAAACGGACCGCTGGGGAAACTATAATGAACAAAACTTCTTTTATTCTGATCATGATATATGAGGAACATGATTTATGAATATCACTTGGACGAATTTGGCCGGAAATTAACCCTGTCAGTCCATACGAGGAGGTATTTTGGTCTTCTCAGCACCGCACTGGGTGAACATTGTGTTCCCAGTCGCCGGAATCGGGGGGGGGGGGGGTCAAACTCCCCCCTCCCCCGCAGGTGTGTCTTTTTTGTTTTTCTTTTTACAGAAATTCCTTAAAAATAATGCGAAAACCGGCCTCCCAGCTATGACACCCAAACATATGCTGCATGGTAATAAGAAAAACTCCGCCTGTGCTCAAAATACGTACAGAGCCAGCTTCTGAGCCAGTTGTTAGGGAGTATTTGTTCACTATTCTGTAAATCGTCGGATTTGAAGGCGCCAACAAATGAAGTAAGGTACGAGCCCCCCCCCCTTGATTTTATGGAGTCAAGTGTCTGGACAAAATAAAACCTGTCTACATTTCAGCATTGATTTGCTGATGGAACTCCCCTCCCGGCCAAAAATCCTGAATCCGCCCATGGTTCCTCCTACTTATTTTACGTGATGATCGATATTTTTTAAATTTAAAAGGACTTTAGGATGATGGCCAGTTCTCTATATTTTAATATTTACATTTATTTCATTTTTCGGGATACATTTCGTTACAATAAACAACAAAATTAAATACTCAGAAACACACATAAACATTTTAGACAAAACACACAAAGTACAATATTTAACCAGCTCCCGCTGGATTACCGTAAAGAAACATGGTTTCTGTCGAGGGGCTTTTCAACTGATTAAATATGACACACTAAACACAATCTGTTATAGTTTTGACTCAAAATGTATCAATGCATATGAAAAGATAATTCTCCACCAAATCATCTCTATTGAGATGCTTGATTGAGGTAATTATTAAATAATATTCACTTACCTTGAAGTAACGTTTTGGAATTCTATCAGGACAGGAATCCTCGACACTCGAGCAGTTAGCTAGCTGAAAATAATACCCACAAAAATTAGTCATTCAAAATTCACTCGGAGATGACTTGGGGACTGGTAGGGAAAGCATAGCTTAATTTCACACGAAAACACCGCAACAAATCTCTGTGATTGCGGATTGAGTTCTTTTTTTTAATTTTTTTTTATTTCAAGCGAATTGTGTTCTCCAACGGCCCTGACTGGACTCACGTTTGAGCAACAATCATCTTTGTTTGAGGATTTACTAGTTTGGAATCAAACAAATTAATCACAAAATGAGAGTTTTGTTGAAGTATGTCAGCAAAATCAAGTTAAAGTCACGTGAGATCATATGGCAATGTCTGGACAAGTACCTATATCATGACAGAAACTTTGCAATGTCATAAGTGAAGATATGACCGGTTTCTAATTCCCTTAAGTCGTTCAGAAAACCCTTGTATAGATTTGGTTTAATTAAAAAGTGACCCCACGTTCACATCACGCTGTTGTACGTTGTTGGAGACGGAATTCCATTACGAGAATCAAAACATTGCACATACATTTTCCTCAAAATGTACCCATCTTCTATCTGAGCTGAATCTTCAACAGGTTCCTCAAAATGTACGTATTTACTGAGCTGAAACTTCAACAGATTAAATAGATGTTGAGGACCTTACTAAAGATATTAAGAAATTATGTTGCTTCTAACAAACAAAATGCACCAACAGTAGATGATCCTATGTTTCTTTAATCCATTGGCTCAAAATGTGCTTGAATTGGTGGTCGTGAGAATCACAGTGAGCTTACATTTTCTGCATTAATAACGGAAATTGATCTCATACCAAGGAAGTAGTGGCGAAAATATTACAAGTGGCATTCAAGTTAACAGTCGTTACAAAAAGAACTATTTAACAGTCGGGAAATTAGAACACCGGACTGGTTACTAGCATCAGCCACCATCTGTTTCTCAACAAAGTATGTCCCAGAAATGGCAGATTTACTGCATAATAATTTAGTGTTCACATACATGCATGAAGCCAAATGGGCCTTATTCACGACTTGGCCATTTTTGTCGAGTTCCCTGAATGTATCTTATTAATTGTTAACTGTTGAATGGGATGGCGCCTGACTTTTTATGCAGGCATAATGCAGCCTTACTTTACTGTCAGTTGTTTTTTATCTGGCTTTACACATTAGGGAACGTTAAATTACAAGTTTGAAATTATTCACTGAAGCAGAATGGACTTCATTAGTAATTAACTTGCTTCCATTTCTCTACACAAGTTCCAGAAATCAAGATTTTACCTCACTCTCAATACAATATGGCCGCCTCGTGAATACCACTATCGGTGTTTCAAAAAATATTCAACAGAGTCTTGATAGTGGCTTGTTGAGTTGAACCCTTTACATGCAAACATCACTAAATTCATCCCAGATCTTGTGTTTCGAATGTTTAAGGCTGAGAGCAGAACATGCAGCAGGGCCGAATAATGTCTACAAATATCAACTCTGTACATGATTAGAAATAAATCCAGTTAGGTATAACGCAATTTGAAGTAGAATAAAACTGTTTGCATGATCATCCGGTCTGTTCATATTTGCGCCTTCTAATAGTGAAACCATAGAGCGTTTGTTTCCGACTAGCCACACTGTTATTAGCAATGTTTGAATGTAATTATAAATCATTGACAGAAAATGGCGCGGTTCGAATATTAGCGCACTTGCTTGGCTGTGAACATCCGTGTAGCAGTAGTCACGCAATATCAGTTTCAATCGAAGTTTTGTTCAGAAAAATCGTGTTTTTCAGTCCTCCAGCAAGTACAGTTAGAGAATGGGGAAATTTCAAGACGGCTACCGCGCTCAGCAATAATCTTAAAAAGAATCCCACGCTGACTTAAATAACACTATGTGCAAAAAAGGCAACTTTTTTGTTTCTGAAAAAGAAAAGGAAAAAACAACAATTAATTGTTTCAAACACTCACCAAGCAAATCTCGTTATTGCAATGTAGCAGTTCGCTCGGGTTGTCGTCTGAGGGTGAAGAGGTGCTGCCCGTCTTGTGGGGAGTGAAGAGGCCGCTCGTGGCTTAAATAGTGCCTTAGATTTCCCGAGCAGTGACTGGCCCGGTTTATGATTGGCCCCTGCTCGCTGTCACTCAGACATCATCGACTCGCTTCATGTTAATAAGAAGGAAGTGATGTCAATGTGGTGGATGCTATACAGTCAGAATCAAAACTTGTGTCACCGACACTGAAATAGCCGCATCTTATTGGCGGATATGGATGTCGGTGACACGTACATCTAAAACACACGATTTGTGATTGATACATACAACCTGTCACTCACTGGTGATCACCGACTTGTTTGGTGATTTACTCTGATTGGTGGATAGAAAATTGACCTACACTCACTGGCCGTGATTCATTAAATGTGCAGTTGGTACTTCAGTCCATTGAATTAATTGTTTCGATTTATTTAGGATTGCATGTGGAATTATATCGTAGTCAAGATGGCGGCCAAAGTAGATTTAACTTAAATCTGGGAGCACCTGTGGGTGCATTAAATGGATGCACTTAACTCAAATGAAACGTACTATCAGACAACAGTGCATTTTGTTCAAGTCAGGATCTCAAATTAGAGCACAAGGGAAGAGGAGAGGGGCTAAGGTCTTCCACTGGCGGGGGGGGGGGGGCAGTGAGGGGGGGAAGGGGAAAGAAGGGGAAAGAAGGGGGAGGGGAAAGCAGTGAGGTGGGTAGGGGGGGGGGAGAAGGGGAAGGGGGGCTCATGTACCCCGTGTCTATAGTTGTGGCCATGGGTAAGGCATTGCTATTTATTATTGGGGATTTTAAAGACTAAGATACATTACATACAAGTTGGAAGAAAGTTAAGTGAACTTCTATGAACTTTGCTGTCAGCTTTGTATAATATTTTAGCAGCCTTGTATTGTTGGACGTGCGTTTTTAGAAGTGTGTAAAACCCAGTCCAAATGAACATTCCCAGAAAGGCAGGAATGTGTGAAGTGCTATGATGGGCCTACAAAGCACAATTAATTAGCTAAACTAATGACACAGTTCAACAATAGAACGTAAAATAAATTAAGATAAATATCCCTCCATATAAACAAAATAGGCATGTTTTGCATGACCAGATTTCCTGTGTTTGTTATTCAATGACTTCCGCATAACTAGTCATCCTGAACTTTAGCCTTCGTGATATCCGGACAAATTAATCACACCAGAAGGTGTCATTCTGTTTGTTTAATCATCTCGACATTTAATAATCTCTTAAGCAATGGCGTAGCGCCGATATAATAATAATAATAATAATAATAAGACAGTCTTATATAGCGCAAAACATAACCGAGGGAAATCTCAATGCGCTTAACAAAGCAAACATAGGTAAGCAAAAATTACAGTGAATGAGAGTAGGCCAATTGAAACAGATGGGATTTGAGGTTAGATTTGAAGTTGTCTATGGTTGGAGCTGTTCGAAGTGGGGATGGAAGGGCATTCCACAACTTGGGAGAGACGTGTGAGAATGCCTTTGAGCCGTATGATTTGGTCCTTGGTATAGTTGTTGTGAGGAATCCCTGGGAAGATTTATAGTCTCCGATCAAAACGCCTTGCTGTTTCGCCACTCGGTCATATACCGGTGAGAGTCAGGTTGACCTTGTAAAAAGGCTACAGTTAGGCCATTATTTTGACCAGCAGAGTTAATTCCTTATTATCATTTGGGGAACCGTCAACTTGGAACTGGTGAAGATCTGGGGATGCAGAAGATGTTAAGTGGAAATGGACGTTACGTAGCTATTGAGGGCATTGCTCTAGTATATATGTACATGTTCTAGCATACACGCGTGCGTTGATTGTTAATACTTAAAAAAAAATGTTGATGAAATACACAAACAAATTGAAACTAAAACTCTTGTAATGCAAACCTAAAACAAAACAATATGTTTATGGCTGTCAGATAAGAGAAACAGTCAATAAATACGGTAATGTATTAAATAGGCAATATTAAATGTGAATATGAGAGGTGCAGATAATTAAATGTTAATAGTCAATGACGAAAATATAGAATAATAAGGAAATAAATGTGTGCTTGAGAGGTGTTAAACACTTTGTTTAAGACTGATTGGGGTCTAGATGCTGATATTTACCCGAGGCGAAGCAGTGGGTAATTATCAGCATTCCAGACTCCAACCAGTCTTAAACATAGTGTTTAATACCGACCTAGCACATATTTACTCCCATTCATAAATAACCTTTCGCCGGTCAAACAAATGAAAACTTTTTGGTCCAAAAGTCAAAACTCGTTCGCCCACAGGCGGGCTCGAGTATGGCCTTTTCACTTAATTCGGTCCCGCACGAGGGTGGCCAGTTCGTCTGTCGATTCTACACCGGTGTCCTTTTGCAACACCCCGGTGTAAGATATTTTCGGTCTTCCTCGCCTCCTGTATCCGTGAGTTGGTTTCCAGAGAATGACTTTGTGTGCCTCCAGCTGCGAGTGCTGGTAACAGTGGCCTGCTAACTGCATCCGATCCCGACCGGCTGCGATTTGGTCTCAGACTCGTAGGAGTTAGAGTCCATGTTTCGCATCCACACAGTAGCACTGACCGATGGCTGTTCGATAAGTGTTTGAAATCGGAGTTGCTGTCTCCACCTGCCCGGAGCAAACTGGTTTTAAGGCGCAAGAAACCCGCCTTCAGACCTCAAGCCCTCATTTTTAAACGGAGATCGGCAAGTGAATCCGGGCAGTAGAAGCTTGAATTAGGAGAGGCTATTTGAGACGTTGATCATAATTATGGGACATTTCATGGAAGAGGAGTGACTCAATCCTCCTTACCGCCCCGATCATCCTAAGACATTTAGACCCCATTATTTAGTAGCACAGAGATCCATTTTCTCACCTCTTTTATCTGCAGCGTTGTGCAGTAATCACGATTGCTAAACTGCTGTGCTACCCTGTCTCAAATTGTGAGTGTTCTCCTGGAAATATTTAGCAAATAACCTCCTTAGGGTACCCCAGTAAATAAGGCCAAAGATCCATCCCCTGAGCTCATGAATAAAAGTTACACATTCAAATTATTCTATATTTGAGAGCCATGGAATTAGTGGATTAAAGATTATGACATTGCGCCTCTGTTCTGGACTTCGGGCTTCCAATTCTGAGCATTTTGGATGCAATTGGGTCCAAAAGTGGCGCTATTTAGCCATGTTGCGTATGGATTTTTTTTTTTAATTTCTACTTTTCCAGTTTGAGAAATATAATTCGTTTGAGGGGGGGGGGGCATCCTCTGGAGGGAAACTCAGTGGAGGGAAACTAAAACTGATTATAGACAACCAAAACCGTTTGTTTTTATAGGGGACGTGAGCTCGCCCCCTCTCCCTCCTTCAACACCAACCTACCCTTAGCCCTTACCCTACCCCCACTTTCCCGAAACTGCTGTCCCAAAACTGAACAACCATCAATCTGCAACATCTCCCTTCATCTTAAATTTCATCCACCCTCGTCCCTCACCCGACCCTCAAATCCCACCCATCACCAACCCAAATTCAAACGAAATAAATAAAAAAAATAAATTATATATCAAAGCAATTATGATTACAGTTAATTACAGTTTTAACATTAGAATTTGGAAGAAATTGCTGACGAGAGTCAGACAGGTTGTGTGCCATGAACGACAAAATATGATTCCTATTGGAGTATAAATCAAAACAATTTTGTGCTTTTACTTGCCTGTGAAATCGATTGACTTCTTCCAAACAAAAGGTTTTGTTTGCAAAAGTGTTTGAAACACTTGAAATAAAGTGTAACAGTAGGATCGGAGTTTAAAATGCGGCATGTAGTTTATTAAATTATCAAAAGCTAGAGTTTTGAATAACATTATTATTTACTTTTTCTAAGTAGTTATATTCGATACATATGACATTATGATTACTTCGTGTTGTAAACACTTTTCTTACAACCAGTTTGTGTATTGTAACTGACAAGCGCTACATTTTTTACGTGAAAGTGTCATATTTTTCCAACAAATTTTGGCATAAAATCATAAACGGGTATTTGATAAGAATTAAACTCTCGAAGTCAATTTGGCCTAACTTTAATTCAAAAACCACATACTAAAACTTCTGAATTCCAATTAAATTTTTTTGAGGCAAAACATAAAGTGTACAGTGAAATCTCGATAAGTCAAACTCTGATTACGTAAAACAACTGTTAAGTCATGCAAAGAATCCATTCCCTTCAGTAGTATAACAATAATATACATAGTTGTTACAATAATATACAAGTAAAATTGTGTTTCTGTTCCTTTGAGGTTTGACTTTTAGGACATTTCAGAATTTTTCTGAGTCCATTTTGGTGCAATTCAAATACAACCTAGTTTTAAAAAGAACATTTTGAAGATTAATAAATGATTTGGGGGCGTGTCAACTATGCTTTTTTTTCCAGGAAACACACCTTTTCAAGTGTTTTTGGAAATATTTTTGGAAAATCAATGTTTATGTGTCTGAAGATAAGCTTCTGATGACAATATGCTGGCATTGTTAGCACGGGTGGATCCAGAGGCCGTGATCCTATAACTTTTTAACCAAAAGAATAAGCAATCCCACCGCTCCCGCATCGTCCCCACTGTTATATGCGTATTTGTCGCATTGTGCTTCGTGACATTATTAAGTGTAATCAGTGTGGTTGTATTTTGACAAATAAATGTTCAAAAATTACATTGTAACGATTACATTTATTTGATGTTCTTTAACTCGTCTTTTGTCTTGATCAATCCCAGGGGTGATTTTGATTTTATTTATATCAAAACTACATATACACGCGGAGTAATTGGTAGACAAGCATGTCATAGGATATTGCCCAGTTTAGTTGTGAACAGATTTATATAGAAACAGAACAAGAGTCACGAAGTTTAGCTTTTCTGCAAAAGAACCGTTTGTATAATTTGTTTTTAAGAAAATGCACATTTTGGCCTGTCAAATTGTCATCGATGTCACGAAGAGCCACACATGTGGATTTTGAAGAAAAAGCGTTTTTGAGAATTTTAAAACTGCCACAACAACTGCTGCTTTGTAACACATTTCACCGTGATTCATTTGAACATTCACATGATTCTTTGAACGGTAAACGTTTATGTAAACCCATTAATTAGATTCAACACAGTTAATTATCCAACACCAATTAGTAAAGATGCGTGTCCCTTCATAAAACAAATATCCACGTTTCCTACATTTAGGCCCTTTCTGTTCAACGTGATTTTCCACAGGCAAGAGGAGCGCGTATTACACGCGCAACTGATAATGTAATAAAGATGTGAGGCTCTTCGTCAAAACGAAAATCTCACTTAACCTGCTTCTATGCCTTTCCGTCCAACTGATACGTTTTGTACGCGTTCAAGACACGTCCGTGTCTCTACGTGATAACACAAAATGCACTAATTGAGATGCCTGTCCTTTGCATCATTAATGTAATCAAGAATTTAATGATATTTTACTTACAGAAGCATGTCAAAATGGTTTACGGTACAATATTTTTAAGCAAAGTAGTGGAAAAAAAACCCTCGAAATCAAAAAAAAATTGTCATTTTTGATATGTTAGGCTCTTCGTAAAAACGGTGACGAAATTGCCTGTATTTATGCGCACACATTACTTCCAGTTTGATGACGTCATCAGTAAAAAAGTGCAAGCTGAATATTGATTTGGTTCAGGGAAGATACCTATGATTCATGACGTGAAGAGAACTTCTAAAAATACAAAACACGACAAGGAAAGAAGAAGTGTATGTATTAATAACATATAACTTCTGGTTAAATGACGTCACAGCATTTGGCAGCCGAAGCCCAAATTTGTACCGTAAATCGTTATTGTGCTACAAACATAGTCATGGATACTGATCAAATAATTGATTGGCATTAAAAACAAATTGAAACTAGATAATTTCAAATTCTTTCTACAATAACTTCCGGTCGGATTTTGAAACCTCGCAATGTTAGTTGCTGTTATCCAAAAAACATCTAGGGACGTTTTTATAAACTTTTGACAGTGATAAAAAAAAAAATGTCTTGTACGTGCCTCTAGAGGGCGTCCTTTCTGAGGATGACGTCATCATGGCGGTTTTTTTGGGGGGGTTAAGCATCCCTCACTAATCATTTCCATCATTTGATTTTAGTAAAATGCTTCCGTTTTACATTTAAATTACATTTAATTCTCAATGCACTTCCGGTAACACCGGAAGTAAATACCAAGCGATTGAATGTGTTCGGGAATGAAAAATGTTTCCCAGGGCATCATCTACACCCACAGGCAAAAAAATGAACAAGGTACACTATTCAGCATATCAGTTCAAACAAATAACGACATAGTTCAAAACTATTTTGTCCAATTGTAACGGCCACTCCCGGCTGGAAGAGACCCCGTGGCCGTCCAAGATCATCTTGGTTGGAACAACTCGGACGGCCTAGCCAGATTGACTGCATGTGGAATGAGGCTGTAGGACGCGGGCACAGGAGATCGTCGCGACGGACCTATGCTGTCTATGCGGACGAGTGAGTGAGTGAATGACATCATGATGACGTCACAAAAACTTCCACTTCTTTTACAGTTGACTACGGTTCATGTTCGTACCAGCATTCATCCTCGTAGAAATTAGTCAGTTTTGTAGGCTTCTATGTGCATTTTATATTCAGATGACTTTGACCTTCCTGTCTCCCCGGAATTAGAGGTCATGCGACTTTGCATTGGGTAATCAAAATGTTTATCAAATATGATCACAAAGTGTGAACGTGATTGTTTATTTTGTTCGTGAGTTATAAAATGATTGAAAATAGTAATACATGTATTTTGAACAAAAATCGCTTGTAATTTGATAGCCAATGACGACATCATGACGTCAGAGTAATATCACACGCCTGGGATCAGGTTTGAGGTTTGTTCTAAGTTTCACGTTAATGTTGTGTACAGTTAAGAAGCTAAATTGCAAAGAAATATCTTCATGGACAAAAGGACGAGAAAATCGATTGAAAATATCTGTATTAACCGCCAGTATCAATGGCCGTTTGACAGTCGTTATTATTATTAGGCATGTTCATAATTGTACTAAGATAGTATAAATGAAATATTCAAGATATTTTCGTCAGATTTTTTTAATCCACAGTGTATTCAAAACCGTTGTCAACAAGTGTAAGTATTATTTTTAATGTCTATCAATAATATATCTATTGTATACAAGATGTGCGTGTGGGTAACGCAAAACAAAATAATCGCGGTTTATTTTTGAGACATTCAACAAGTATTTCTTTTAATTCAGTGGTTATCGTTTCCGCAAAATGAAATGCGATGTTTAAGTATTCAGCAACACGATGCTCGTAGGCCTGTATATTTATGTGTTGTGATATTTTATTTATTCGGGGTAAAGGAGGAAGCCACTAAACGAGGTGGCATGATTGGCAGCCCCACCCACATTACCACTCATGGTAAGATACACCGTGTCTCCTTGCTGTAGAAACAGCACCGCGCTCCCAGACACCTGCTCATAGTGACTTGCCCTGCTATAGCCAGAGACAACCACGTCGTCGTTCTTCCGGAGCTGGACGTACAGTGAGCTGCTGGAAGAAGATTTGTTCATAGAAAACATGAACACGAAGGTGCCCGACACACTGCAGGTGAATGTGCCAGTCTCAAGTTCGAAGCTGGTACCCGGCAGTAGTGTCGCGGTGTGCTGGAAGGGCAAACGGGTGTTAATGTCCGTAGACACAACTGAAACACTCGACCTCGTCACCGTGAATGCAACCCGCTGATTGGAGTCGGCTGGTGTCTCCCCGGCTCACCCTTTTGACCTTTGACGCCAGTCTGACCGGTTGCTCCAACTAACCCTGGTGTACCCCTCGGACCTACCTTGCCGGGCAAGCCTATCCCGTCGGCCCCAGGGTCCCCAGGTGCTCCCCGCTCACCCATAGGTCCAATTGGGCCAATTTCACCTTGCTGACTTGCATCGCCCTTTGACCCCGGCTGACCGTACGGCCCCATCGGTCCTACTGGCCCAGGCAGACCTGGTATGCCAGGTATTGCAGCAGGTCCCTGGCAGCACTGCTGACACACCTGAGATGCAGGACCATCGCCATCCGAGGGAACCGGCCCAGTAACGGAAGCTCGGAGCTTGACAGAGTTACCCAGAAGGAGTGTGATTGATAATACTGCCATACAGATATTCATCTGTAAAGAACAATAACAATAAAACACGTGTATATGAGAAAAAAATGAAATGAGGGGAAAATTAGAGAAAAAAATATTGAAGTCATGCAGACGAACTGGGAATCACATCTAAGTAAGACTTATTAAAAGGTGTCGTTGTTTAAAAAAAAAATGAATGATTATACAAATCCCTACGCGGGGTAGTTGTTTAATGTACAACATCAGGCGCCTGTTGGGAACTCCATGACACCATGTAATTTGAGCCACCCGACCCTCACAGTCGGACCATTCACCCCTGATTAACCCCTGATATCTCTCAGGCCCCAAACAGCCATTAAAACCAGAGACTTACCCCCTCAATTCCATGTGACAGTTCCATTTTGGTCACAGGGGTGATCGAGGTAATCCCTATGTGAACAGTGCATTTGTACACATGCCAATGTAAATGTGCACAAGCACACTAGTAGATCATTCGGAAAAGGGGGCTATCGTGCACCCTCGGAAATCAATTTCTAATCAACGTTTCTAGGTCAGAAAAATGCGTAGAAAACGATTTACCATGTTAAAAAATTCAATAAATGTCCCACGTATTGTTTTATGCAAATTAGTGCCGCCATTACTGAAAAATCTTTTTTTAATTATATCTCAGCCAATATTGCAGATAACTGAACGAACTAGGTGTATAAACCCATGTTTTCAAGGTCAGAGACCACAATAAAACTATTCTTGAAGTGACCAGATGTGTCTGTGGCATAGGAATATGCAAATTAGTGCCGCAAATACCGGAAAGTCAGGTGTCAAAACCCATGTTTTGAGGGTCAAGTATCATTAGAGGATCATTCAAGATGTAACAATGTGTGTCTTTGGCATGAAAATATGTAAATTATAAAGTGTCGGTTTATCAGATATTTGATTTTTAGCCAATATCTCGGCCAATATTGCACATAACTACACAAGTAAGTTGTCTAAACCCATGTTTTGAGGGTCAGGTATCATTAGAAGACCATTCACGAAGTAACTATGTGTGTCCTTGGCAGGTAAATATGTAAATTCTAAAGTGTCGATTTATCGGAAATTTGATTTTTAGCCAATATCTCGGCCAATATTGCAGCTAATGTTGACAGAAGGGTTTTTTGATAAGCAATAATGATCAAAGTTTATTTCAAGCCATCATATTCAAAATAAACTGTACTAATGGCTGACTCCATACTTTTATCAAATACTTTCTAAGCAAAAGATAATTATTTGAACATCGTTTTCGAGATTTGAATCAGCTACAGGCGTGTGGTTTGGAGCCCGCTTAAGGGCCCGAATAAAAAAAAAAAGATTCTAGATGCTCCGTGGTGTAATCTGAATTTAACTAACATTGTCTTAGCAACAAAATGCTGGATTCTAAATTCTCTGTGGTGCGATGTGATGCAATTTCTGACCACTTTAACCAATATTTTCAAAGCAAAAGATGCATTGCAGTACATAATAGGGCCCTGTAAATGAGACACGAGTTCCAAAATCGGGGGGGGGGGGGGGGGGGGGCATTTGATAGTGTGTCCCCCACCCTTCAAAAAGTCGGGGGGGGGGGGGACATGTCCCCATGGCTCAGAGACAACTTGGCGTTGTTGACAGAGGCATTAGGCCTAGCTGAATTGTATTTGTAAAACACCAAGAATATAAACACGTTTAATTCTCTGCTGGGTGGAATGTGACTCGGATCGAATATTTGTTTGAGAAACAACTGTTATTGCGTTAAATGAAGGCCCGGCCTTGATGAAGGAAAACAAATTTTGTGAAGAAAAACAAATTCTGCCTGAATTATTGTCGGAAACAAGTAATTAATGTGTAAGCTTGTATTATTAAATAACTGAATGTGGATGGGTTACTTTGTTCGACGTCTCACCTAAAGTGAAGAACATGCACGTTTTGAAAAACTTTTAAAATGGTAGAGAAACTTTCCTTCCAAAAAAAAACAACGTAAATTGATTCAGAGGTGTTGGAATTTGAATTCTCAAAATGGGCATAAGTATTCTTCAATTTCAAGGGAATCTGATCTAGTTCCATAGAAGTAGTGACGGAAATATTACAGGTTGACTATCATAGTCAAGTTACAGTCGTTACGTAGTATTTCTGTAGATAAATCAGCTCACCGGTTTGGCTATTAGCATCACTGTATGATTTAAACCAGAGCAAGTCTCACAAAATGTGTGTGATTCGTGAAAATCTGTTCCAACTGTAAAACTAGCAGAGTTCAGAATATCAAGCACAATACAAGTATGGCTGTTTCGAAGGGGCACACTGAGTGGAACCCTAAATACAAACATGACCGAATTCATGGAGAGCCTCTGCTTCAAACTTTTAAGACGGACAGCAGAGCAGAAGGGCCAACTTACGTGTAGGCTTACACCTTTTAACACTCTACCCGATTTCACAAATTATGAGTCCAAATTGTCGAGGAAAAAGCACCCACTTTTTATTCTAAATAGTCACCTTGTAATCTGGTTTTTGCAATCGGGTTTCTCGGGACTGTCGTCTTATGGTGAAATGAGCGAATTAATCTGGGTAAAGCAATGTGAGCTTGAATGAAACTTTGCGCATCATATCAGCTTCAGAATGTTACACTTCCGTGAAATAGCGAAATGACACAATTTAACAACAAACTGCAACTGGTACTGACATCGCCCAAAGTGACCCAAAGAACACAAAATAAGGCAGGCATATTGGAGATGTCCGAATTTTCTGTATCCGCTCTCCCACGACCAACTTTCGCATAACTTTTCGTCATAAAATATTTAGAGTGATTGTCGGAAACATGTAATACATCGCGGCAGATGTTTTGTGTGTGTCTGAGAAGTAAAGGTTTGACTCAACAGGGCAAACACGAGAAAGGAACTACAGGGATAGGTTGATTACACTGATGAACTCTTGGAAACCTACGGTCAGATTTGACTTGCAAACGGTCCAACCTGAATGTCCATGTTGATTGACATCTTAAAAGTGGTTTTAGATTGTGTTAACCAAATTTTTTGAGTTTAACATTGAGGAAGTGACAAAAATATTGTAGGCAGAGGGGACCTCTATATTTAGCTTTACATTGCCTGAAAATTACAGCCTCACAAAACCGTGTCCTGGATCAGCACCAACAGTCCAGACTAAGAGCTGTACCGATCTCACGCACAGCATAATGCTCGCTAGACCTGAATAATTTCAAACACTAAATTATCGAGTAATTTAATGTTTGTTAATCTAAAAAGCATAATTTCTCGATCGGAAATTAGCCCGCTGGTTTGACCGTTACCAATCGTGTATCGGTATCACAGTTACGCAAGATCGGTTTCAATAGAAATTGTGTTCACAAAAAAATCTCCATAAAAGAAATACAGAAAACGAAGAAATTTCAAGCCTACTACTGCGCTCGTTGTTTGAAAATTATTGGGTTAGCAATGATCTTCGGAATGTTAGTCACATGTTGATTAAAAACAATATATCAAGACAGGCAAAGTTGAAAAAGAGGATTTGCCAAAATGTCAGGCACATCTCTATACGGTGGGTGTATAGGGATCTCTCACTTCACTAAATATCATCGAGCGACCTTTTCTGTTATAATTTTAACGAAAACAAATCCATTATCAATGCAAAGAAAAAGAATACAGTCTCCCGACAAATCACTGGTCTATTCTGATGCTTGCTTGATTTCAAATAACATACACTTACCTTTAAGAGACGTTCTTGAATTATATCGCGAAAGGAATCCTCAACACTCAAGCAGATTACTGAAAAACAATATACCAACACGAAAGGGAGTTCAACATCCGCTCAGAGATAACTTGGAGGCTGCTTGGGGAGGTATAGCTGAATTTCACAGGTAAAGCACACTCTGTCGTGCGAAACGTGATTTTGATTCATTATTGCAAGCAGAATGCGTTTTCCAACGGCCCTGAATGGACTCAAGCACGAGCAATTAACTTTCACGTCTTTTTTTTTCGGGGGAGAAAGGATTTTAAGGGCGCATATTTATATGCCCTTCTGCCGAGCATCCAACAAAGGGGGTATATCAAGCCCAACACCCAACTCGTTGTTCGGAAAGTAAATGCGCCAGCGTCAATTTGCAGAATCTTATTCCAACGGTGATTCAAAAACTGCTTGTAGGCCTATGTACAATTCGCAAAAACGCAAAACAAAATTGTTGCGGGAAAAAATGGTTGTTTCGAACACTCACCGAGCAAATCCCGTTCTTGTCGTTCTGGCAATCAAGTCTCTCTCGGGTTGTCGGCTGAAGGTGAAGAGTTATTGTGAGTACAGAAAATGACCGCTCCAGCCGTTATATCCTACCGTCGATTTCCTGATCAGTGACTAAATGACTTGGCCCGCTTTGTGATTGGCCCCTGCACGCTGTCAATCTCAAATCACTGACTTGCTCAGTCATATTAATGAGACGGAATATGATATTATTGCCGTTGAGGCTACATACTCCGTATCAAAACGTGTACCACCGACACTGAAATAACCGGTGGTGGATAGTGTATTGATGTCGGTGACACATCCAAAACACGTGATTTGCAATTGACACACACAACCTGTCAATCACAGACCACTCGCTTGTGATCACCGACTTGTTGGGTGACAACCTCTGATTGGTGGATCGAAACATGACGTACACCGGCCGTGACTTATTCGGATGCTGTTAGCGCTTTGTGCTATCCAGGTACGTGATCTCTGTACACTCGCGAGTCGCGAGGCCCCTTCAATGGAAAATTATGCACGCTATTGTA